TTTGCTTCTACCCCAGAGCTATGCACATGGCAGGTGCTGGGTGAAGGTTTGGTGATGGGTGAGCTGATTTATTCTATCTACCAGCCCAGGCCAGATACAGTTTGGGAAAAGAGATGTTAAAGATGAACATTACACAGGTCGGTTAAGCATCTGCCTTTGGCTCAGGTCATGGTCCCAGGGTCCTGTGATGGAGCCCCATGTCGGGCTCCCTGCTCAGCGGGGAGCCTGCTTCTCCCTCTCCTCCCTGCTTCTAATCTTTCTCTCTCTCTGTCTCTCTCTCTCCAATAAATAAAATCTTAAAAAAAAAAAAGATTAGCATTATAGTCATTCACACACTGTGTTCTAGTGATGAGGGACTTGAGTCTCAGTGGCCATACCTGCTGCTGAATCAGACCGTTAGTAAGAGAAATCACCACTAGATAGAGATGAACATCTCAGCCTCCAGAGACTGATTGAAGAGAGGGTGTTTCTATGGCTGATTTTCCTTGAATCTGGACAAAGGAGAGAATCAAGAAGGATGGGGGCAGACCTCACTATTCCTTCAGGGAGCTACCAGTCTTCTGAATCAGTAAGTTCTTTCTCTTGTCTAGCCTGTAACCACCCTGCTTCACTTGGACTCTGCTGCCTTTTGCCCAGTCCTTGGGGAAAATGCGGACCAGCTGTTCTTTTACTTCCTTCTGTCTCTTCCTGACTCAGGAAAGCAGGTAGTGGCTGGGTCTCTCTTTGTATTATTAACAATGCCAACCCCCCACAGATGCCTAAAAAAGCAGCAAATGTGGGTTACAACTGGGAGGAAGGAAGCCGATCCCGGGAGCTCCAGGTAAAGTGGCTTTGAGCATGTAGAGAAGAGGCTAAGCATATACGCCGGTCTTTTAGGACAGAAAGAAGAACATTACGTTTTCTATTAATTTGCTCAGCCTGGGAAACATTTCTCAGCACTGTGGCTATGGAGATGTCTAGCAGGAAGTAACGGGGCTGCTTCCTTAGCTTTGAGGCTGGGACTCAAATATAACCAGGCACTTGGATCTCTACCCTCTTCCAGCTGTATTTCTGAGACACATTTGGAAAACTGAGTCTCAGACAACTCAGCCAGGATTATCTTGCTGGCTGGTGGTTTTGGTCATAGACGACACCGAGGATTTGCCGATGATAAAGGAGAGAATGTACATCCCAGCATGGCCGATCTGTATGTCACGCATCCTGGAGCACCCAATTCTTCCTATCTTAACCTCAGAAGATGTGGTTTTTCCTCCTTTGCCCAGCACCCTCTCTCCTTCTCCAAGCAATTTTTAAGTGGGCCCTAAGGCAAGTTCTCAGCACCTCTCCCTGATGGCTATGGACTGAAAGTTTGAGACCCCCCCACCCCAAATTCATATGTTGAAACCTAATCCCCAAAGTAAGGGTACTAGGAGGTGGGGCCTTGGGGAAGTGATTAGATCACCTTCTAAAAGAGACCCCAGAGAGATGCCCCTTTTGCCATGTGAGGACACAGCAAGACTACCCCTGCCATGACCCAGGAAGTGGGCTCTCAGCAGACCCTGAATTGCTGGTGCCTTGATCTTAGATTTCCCAGCCTCCAGAACTGTGAGAAATAAACGTCTGTTGTTTGTAAGCCACCCAGTTTATGGAATTTTGGAAGTAGCGCAGCCTGTCCAACCTAAGACACTGATCATTGCATCATGAATCTCTGTAAAGGCGACCAGTGGTCTTATTAATCACTCCTGCCCCATTCCCAATATTGAGAACCCCACTCCTCAGGCTTGAAGTTCAAGGTTATGGTTTCTAAGCCATCACAGTCTAACTGAGGTGGACAGCATAAAAGGAAATGGCCATCATCCTGCCACTGCTTAGAATTCAGCAATAACTTTAAGGGTCTTTCTGGTGGGGTGAAAGCATCCTCTGCTTTGTCTCTGTGAGTCAGGTCTTAGGAGTTACTGCAAACCAGCAGTTACAAACTCTGATACCTGGAGGGGACAGGTAGATAGGTAAGGTAAATTAGTAAAGCAGGCTGGCTAATTTCAAGACAGAACACTCAGCTGCATATTAAACACGCAAAAATATTCTTCATTTTTTAAAATTAAAAACAGAGCTACCCTATGACCCAGCAATTGCACTACTGGGTATTTACCCCAAAGACACAGATGTAGTGAAAAGAAGGGCCATATGCACCCCAATGTTCATAGCAGCAATGTCCGCAATAGCCAAACTGTGGAAAGAGCCGAGATGCCCTTCAACAGACGAATGGAAAAAGAAGATGTGGTCCGTGTATACAATGGAATATTACTCAGCCATCAGAAAGGATGAATACCCAACTTTTGCATCCACATGGATGGGACTGGAGGAGATTATGCTAAGTGAAATAAGTCAAGCACAGAAAGTCAATTATCATATGGTTTCACTTATTTGTGCAACATAAGGAATAGCATGGAGGACATTAGGGGAAGGAAGGGAAAAATGAAGGGGGGGAAATCGGAGGGGAGATGAACCATGAGAGACTATAGACTCCAAGAAACAAACTGAGGGTTTCAGAGGGGAGGGGGTTTGGGGGATGGATGATCCCGGTGATGGGTATTAAGGAGGGCACATGTTGCACGGAGCACTGGGTGTTATATGAAAACAATGAATCAGGACACCTGGGTGGCTCACTCATTAAGCATCTACCTTCGCCTCAGGTCATGATCCCAGCGTCCTGGGATCGAGCCCCGCATCAGGCTCCCTGCTCGGCGGGAAGCCTGCTTCTCCCTCTCCCACTCCCCCTGCTTGTGTTCCCTCTCTCGCTATGTCTCTGTCTGTCAAATAAAAAAAAAAAAGAAAAGAAAACAATGAATCATGGATCACTACATCAGAAACTAATGATGTACTGTATGGTGACTAACATAACATAATAAAATAAAATTAAATTAAAAAAGAATATTCTTCATTTTTATAAAACATGAAATCTTTCTCATGTTTCCTGAAACATACAAACCTCCTGGTCTATCTCTACCTGCCACTTATAATAAAGTCATGGATAGAAAAATATTTCCCTTTCATCCTAAGAAAATCAATAGCACTAATGTTATAAAAAGTAACAAAAGACAATGGTCTTAAGGGGAGGGATATGATAGGGAGCGGTGGGGATTGTGGCAAACTGGAAAGCCCACGCTCTGTCTGCAGGAGCAGCTGCTACTCAGTCTGTGCAGATTATTGTCCCATAAGAATACAGGCTCGAGGTGGTCAGCGTGTCCACATTTTTTAAGAGAAGCTGTGAATATGATATTTATATAAAATTTTAAAACATTGGCAGTAAATTCAAAGTACACATACAAATTGTCCCTTAGGGCACTATAGTGCAGACCTAACAAAGCACATCCAGATCCTGGATCTAGCCTGAGGCTGTCTCTGTTCTTCCTTTGTCTTGGGAGGATTTGAATTATGGCAATACCTCTTTCCTTTCAGTTAAGAAAGAAAATACAAAGACAAATGTTAACTTCATTTGTTCACTTAATCATGAATGGAAAATAGCCCCCTCATGCTCGCAGTGTGGCCCCGCGTTCTGAGGACAGCATAATAGATGTCTACATAGGTGCTTCTCCTCCAAGCGTCCCTAGATGCCGCTGCAAGAGGGTGAGGGACTAGCCAGAGGGAGCCTGGGTCTGACCTACCACAGAATCCCTGACATCCTTCCTTATCTTCCTGGCCAGCTATCAGCAGCTAAGGAAAGCAATCCCCACTGAGGCTCTGGAATGTCCCATCCTCCCCATGGAAGGCTATGTAGTGAGGCTTTGGGTCATTGCTCAGGTGAGCGGGTAGCGAAAGATGCCATCCATACAGATGTCTGAGAAGACAGAACCTGGCAACCTGCCCCATGCCATCCAGAACTGGAGGCAGGTGGAGAGAAGAAGGTGACCTTGCCGAGTGACCTGGGCCATCTCCCTGTTCTGACCTCCCACCCACCATTCCTCCCGTACTTCACTGCAGTGCAGAGGATGGGTGGGAAATTCATATGCTTTAATAGGGTCACACTGGCCTGGTCCGTGAGCTGCCCAAGCAGGTGAGAACGAGGCACTGCTGATCTCTAGCCAAATCTCTCCATGCTCAGAAACAATTCTGACTCAGCTGTCAAAACACGTCTCAGCAAACTGGCAAAGACTGAGAAGTTTGATAATACGTTAGGTTGGTGAGGCTGTGGGGACACCACCACTCTCTTGCTTAGCCGGTAGGATCGGGGCAATCTTTACGGTGAACCATTTCTCAATTTCTGCCCCAATCACAAATGCATATGATCGTTGAGCCAGCAATTTCACTTCTAGGAATTTATGCTATTGAAAAGCCTGCCCATGTGCCACGTGAGACATTTAGGCAATGTCATCCATTACAGCAATGTCATAGCAAGATATTGGCAATGACCTAAGGGTCCATTATGGAGGACCGGCTCAGTAGTTTTGGGGGAGCCATAAAATGGAATATTATACAGCTGTGAAAAAGATCCAGGACTTTCTTCCCCTACGAACTGGGGGGTAATCACCAAGATATGCTGATAAGTGAAGAGCAAGGCGCAGAGCAATATGTATAATGTGCTCTCATTTGTGTGAAAATATTGTGTGTGTGTATTTGTCAGTCTATATGTAAAATATTGCTGAAAGAACCAGAGAAACGATAAATATCGCTTGCCTCTGGGGAGGGAAACTGTGTGGCTGGGATTAGGGGAGAGAGAAAACCTTTTTACCATGTATCTTTACCTGCTAAATTTGGGATGTGAATGGCATGGGAGTGCCTTTGTTGGTGGAGACAGAATTGAAATTTGAAAAATGGCAAGATCACGAACAAAGCAAAACAAAGGCAAAATCCGGATCCCAGGACACATGCTCCTGGCCTCAGTGCCCCTGAGCTCTCCAGCCATGGTGGCTCATTTCCATCCCAACATGGTTTGACATTTGGCATCCCTCCCCTCATCCTTACACGGGGGAAGGTTCAGGGAGCCATGGAGTGTGGGAGTCAAGCTGGTACCATCCACTTACCTGCTCCTTCTCTGAATATGGGTTGTTGAGGACAACGGGCACATGGCCCTTCCCCCACAAGTCACTGAAGACTCGGTCATTCTCCACGCCGAGGGGCAGCGGTTTGTGTGACTTGCCGTCCACACCTCTGAAAGGCAAGGAAGAGGAAGTAAGAGAGGTATGACATCAGGAGGGACAGGCTGCTGGCCCTGTTCTAAAAGTCCCAAGTCTGTACAGCACCCCCACAGTTCACCCACAGGACTCTATGCGGAGCCAGCACGCTGTGGGTGCCCAGCCTGCTGCTCGGCAGAACCGCCAGCAACACATGGGAAGGCAGCCCCGTCGTCACTGACGTCGGTGCTGATGGTGGGCATGCACCCACCTTTGTGGACATCACTTCCGGATGGCCATGACATGGCTTTGGTCCTCCCTTCCCACTTCCCCATTTCAAAGATCTAGGAACACCGAAGGCTCATCTCCCGGCAGACCCACTGGACGACTTAAGATGTAGGAGGCAGGACAGATAGGGGAGAAAACAAGTCCCAGGGGCCAGGGTGACAAGTCATCCTAATTCTGAATAAGCACTGATAATGAGACTAATGATACCTCACCAAGAGAAACAGAAATGATTCTGAAAATGAGGGGAACAGAGCAACAAAAATATTAAGACTATTAAAAATGATAGCCAGTGTTTATTAAGCACTTATTATGTGTCAAGCACTTTACAAGTGTTTTAATTTAATCCTTGTGACAACTCTATGAGGCAGGGATGAGTATTAGCCACATTTTACAGATGATGTAAGCAAGACAGACACTAAGATGCTCAGGGTCACAGTTTTTCAGCCCACTCTTCACAGCCATTCTGAAGCGGAGGCTCTCATTATCAACATTCATCAGCATCATTATCACCACCACCACCAGCATCACCATCATCACCATCACCATCACCAGCATCACCACCAACATCACTACCACCACGACCATCATCACCACCATCACCATTGCCATCACCACCATCACCACCACCACCACCATCACCATCATCGCCATCACCAGCATCACCACCAACATCACTATCATCACCACCACCACCACCATCATCACCACCATTACCATTGCCGTCACCACCATCACCACCACCACTACCATCATCACCATCACCAGCATCACCACCAACATCACTACCATCACCACCACCACCATCATCATCACCACCATTACCATTGCCATCACCACCATCACCACCATCACCAACATCATCACCAACATCACTATCATCACCACTACCACCACCATCATCATCACCACCATCACCATTGCCACCACCATCACCACCACCACCACCATCATCACCATCACCAGCATCACCATCAACATCACTATCATCACCATCACCATCATCATCACCACCATCACCAAGATCACCATCATCACCACTGCCACCACCACCACCATCACCATCACCACGCAAACTTCCATTGCTATCACCACCACTGCCACCATCATTCTCGTGATCATCACCATGCAGCTTCTCCTCATCAGCATAACCATCACGATCACCATCACCATGGCCATAATCACTCTCATCATTACCATCATCACTTTCCTTACGTCATCCTATTCATCATCATCACCATCACTACCAGCATCACCATCCTCCTCCACTGTCGCCATCATTAGCATCTTCATTATTATAATCATAATCCTCATAATCATCATCAGACAAGGAGACTGAGGCTCAGAGAGGTTAAATCACTAGCCTAAGTCACACAGCTATGGACAGTGGAGTTGGGATTCAAACCCAGACTTGTTCCTGACTCTAAATGCTGACTTCCTAACTGCAAAGCTTTCCTGGCTCTCTGCTCTTGAACTCAGGTTCAGGAGGAGACAATCTCAGCTAGGTTCCACCACCTGGTTATCCTCTAAGATGGAGAGAAGTCATGGCTGTGATGGAACTGACTTTGCATCAAAATCCAGACCTTCTGACCAGCCCCGCCTCACCTCTGTCCTTCCTCCCTCTGAGCTCTGCCCTCCTGCTTCGTGACAACGGGCCTCTTTTTAACCCTCCCATCCACTTTTACTCTGACTATAGCATCTGTCTGTTCCCCAGCTTTGGGCACCGTGGCTTGCTCTGGGGTCCCTCCTGGTTTCAGTCTCAGGTGTTGAGGTTGACCCTTACCTAGTCCTCTGTTCTAACTTTCCCAGCTTTAGGGATTTATAATCCTGGTCCCATCATTTCCCCTGACCCCTAGTTTGGTGCTGATAGTCATTTGGGATCAATCGGAAGTCAGGGCTCCAGCTCTGAGGGCATGGCCCTGAGTGGCCCCTCTGTCTGCTCCCTCGGGGCCAGCTAGACCTCCCTCCCTGCTGTGTCAAAGCGCTGGTGGCCTGTGTCAGAGCCACCTCCACTCTTCTGCGTGGAGAGTTCTGCAATTGTCAGAGGGAACATTCTGTTTTACCCTCTTGAAAATGTCACCAAAACACACAGGGAGTGGTTCTTGATTACAGCCATTTCGCAAGCCAATGGTTTACCTACGTGGGATAAACAGAGGGATTGTCTGTGAGATGGCTGCCCTAAATGCCACTCAGCTCCCTCTCAGCTCTGAAATGCCTGATCCTATGATATCACATGACTATAAATGGGGATTCAGCAGAGGTGAGGTGTTCGAGCGTAACATACCAGGTGCTGACACACAAGTGACTTCATTTACTTCATTTACTTCATTTCTTTAATGTCTTTTGAGAAAAAGACATTAAAAGCCCTATTTTACAGATGCAAAAACTGAGCCCGGAGGGGTTATGTAAGTTTCCCAGGGTCCCACAGTAAGCACAGAGAAGGGCTGTGATTTGAAACTAGGTCTGATTGATGCTTGGCCCAGATCTTTCCTTTTGAAAACAGAGACAGGAAAAAGTAGTTACTCTAAGCCAGAGGCTAAAGAGCAAGTAATCCAACATCTCTTGCTGAATGAGGCCAGTTTGCAAAAATTACAGGGAACAATTACCTAGGCAACTCCGAAATGGCTCACATGGCCTGTCTGTTGTGAATCTTCAGGGAGAGCTGCTTTTATCCTCTCCCCCCCCCCACCTTTTTTAAGAGCCTTTAACACCTCTGTTTAAATCATGCATCTGAAGTGTTTTGTCAACACAAACTTATTTAAGAGTCCTGTGTGATGAGCTAAATATAAAGAATATATTTAACAGGGGACCAGGGGGAACATCCAGGTTGAGCTAATTTGCTTCCGTTCACCCAGGAGCAAAATCAGAAGTAGATTTCAGTAGATTCCCAGCTCCCAGTCTGACAGTGGTAATCAGCTTTGAGGGAAATATCTGGCTTATTGCCGCCAGTTTGCTCACCCTGGGATCTAGCTGCTTGATGGGTTCCTATGGGCAGGGTAGCTTGCTGGTTAAGAGTGTGGGCTATGGGGTGGGTGGCATTGGGTTCAACTCTTGGCTCTGCTGGTTATAAGCTGTGCCAACCTTGGATATCTTGGATACTTATGCTTTCTGAATCTCCATTTACTCATCTCTAAAGCAGGGTTAGTAATATTTAGTTCATGGGGTTGCAGCAATGGTTAAATGAGGTAAAGTTTATAGCCCTTAGCTGTGTGGCGCCTGCTGTTCCTCTTACTACTGTGTTTATGGACTGATCAGACAAGACAGAAACAGAAAAAGGAAAAATGCTGGTTCTGTATAAAACAGCCAAGATTGCTCTAAGCCAACATGGTCTAGTAGAACTTTGTGTGATGATGGGAACATCCTGTGTCTATGTTGTCCAATTTTATAGCCACTGGTTCCATGTGGCAATTGAGTACTTGAAATGTGCCCACGGTCAATGAGAAGCCGAATCCGAAATTTTGTCTAATTTTAATTAAGTTTAAGTAGCCAAATGTGGCTGGTGGTTATAGCATTGGACAGTGCCCCTCAAAGCCTTAATGTCTCCGAAGGCTGGGAAATGAAGGCGTACATAGCTCTGAGCCAAGAAAAAGCACGTTCTCTGGGGGCTGGAGGGCACAGGCAGGGATACTCAGACCCTTTCTGAGATGTCATGTCATATTCACAGCGCACAGGACTTGGGGATTTCTCTGCTTCCCTTCCAGACTCCCACCTCCCATCATTCTCAGTCCTGATCTTCACTCTTCCCTCCTCCCGAGGAGCACCCTGTTATCCGCACCTACCTTTATACTTGACCTCCCTGGGATGCCCCTTCATCTTCCCTCTGCTGGGAACCAACTCCTACTCAACCTTCAACACCCACTTCACACCCCTCCTCTCCTGGGTGTTAAACGAGGTCATGTGTATAAATGCCTAACACATAGAACTAATTAAACATGTGTGTCTTCGTTAACTAAGGTAATTGAAGCTCAGAGAGATTAGGTAACTTGTCAAAGGTCACACCACCAATGAGTAGTGAAGACAGCCTGAAAGTCAGATGTTTCCTTCTTGTTGCTCCCCTAGCTGAGAGTCACTGAGAACAGGGCTTAAGGGGGTGGTGGAGGAGACATTTGGCTGAACCTCATACTGGTGAAGACCCTCAAATTTAGATCTTGATCTTTCCCTCCAAATGAAGTAGAGGTGTTGAATGTGTTTATCTGTTGAATGAGAACCTGGTCACTTTCATGTATCATTTCTTCATTTAAATAAATATACTGGGAGCCCATAGATGGAGGTGGATAGGGTCTGTCTTGACTTCTTAGAAGCCTGGAGGGTGACTCTCCTTTGTCAGTACTCATGAATGTTGGTCCTGCCCAGCTGCCTGGAGTGGTTTCAGTTTAGATCAGGGTTGCTCAACCTGGAACTATTGATATTTTGAGAGCTGGATCATTTTTTGTGGCGGGGGGCTGTCCTGGACACTGTAGGACGTTTAGCAGCATCCCTGGTCTCTACCCATTAGATGCCAATTACACCCTTCTCCCCTCCACAGTCCCTGCCAGTTGGGACAATTCAGAATGTCTCCAGACATTGTCCAATGTCCCTTTGGGGAGGAAACAAAATGTACTCCTCCTTAGTGAGAAGCTCTGGCTTAGGGGTGGCTGAGGACCCCGATCTCATGCCTCCTCCACAGTCCCTCGCATCTTTGCTCTATGCCCATCTCTATGTCTACAAGGATTTACTCACTAGTTGCCCCTTGTTCTCAGATGGGATTGAAGA